TCTTTTTTACATCTGGTAGAGTTTTATAAATTTCATCTCGAAACATCTTTCAGAAATGGTTGATTGGGTCAATTGGGACTAACTACGTATTTAAACTTTTTAACAATATTCCCCTAACAAATTGTAATTTTCAAACTTAAACATGAAATTTTAAAACTGAGCGTAAGCTCCATAAATCTCTATTTTACTTGGTATATTTATTTTTTATGTTCTTATTTTTTTTACTTACGAATATAAAAAAAATTTAAAAATATACTTGCATGAAAGTTATATACACAACCACCAATTACATGCATACGTTTTTCTTATAATTAGACGGAATATATGCAACATTTTTTTGAAAAAATAGGCGCATATATATATGCATCTTTTTAATGAAAATATGCACAAATATTGTCTTTTATTAAAAAAATATGCAATCCAATATGTTATAAAACTTAATGATTTAATAGAACAAAATAGGGTGCAAAAGGTACTTACTATGTTCAAAAATTGGTTTGTATTTGGAAAAATACACATAGGAAATAAGAAAAACATAGTCATATAGACACAATTATTTACTATTTTAAAATGGAACAATAAAGTATTGCAATATTATACAATTTCTCGTTAGGAAATACTATAAAAGGCATTTACAACAGGATACTTTTCGAAGTTTTCCAGTAAAAATTATTGTCTTCTATCAGTAAAATGTATTTAGACATAGAAAAAGTTCTTTCAACGTCTACTGACCTAATTGGACAATATTGAAGTTTTGGCAGTATACTATGAGGCCATGGTACATGTTCGTTAGAAGATTATTTACGTAGATATTTTTGACTATTTTTAAAAATGTAAACCCTTCATTCTTTGTTAAAGTCCCTTCCGGTTTGGGCCTTATTTGATCTCCAACTTTACCCGGAACGTTGCCACACTTAGTCATAGTTCAAGTTTCAATGGTATTACACTGGTACTACACTTACACTTTGAACTACACTCTGAGCGTCGTCCTCCATGTGTAAATTAAGTCGTAGCGTAGAATGTAGCCGCGTTAACGCACTTTCTCCATGTGGTAATTACAGGTTCTGGTGGTAAACTAACTCCAGGCAGTCTCTCCCTATACATCTGAACTCTTAGATAGGCTTTAATGAATACTTTTTTAACATTTGAAATTAGCTTATTTACTAACGAAAATTCTGTTCTGATGGTTTCTACTACTCGCTTTATTTCGTGCAGCAGACATGTAACATACACCAAATTGGCACCAACAACTTCTCTTCTGGCACTGGGTTGGGAAGAAAAAAGCGCGATAGAGACTTCTGTATGAATTTGGATACCGTCACATTATTGGATTTGTCTAACTGCCTCGAAGCTATTAAGTATGCGTTTGTACAATTATTTTCTTGAAGTGCTCCAATTATCAGATGTGCTATATATCTGCCACAAGCATCGGTACTTTCATCCACAACGATGTAGAAGTTTTTCTCGCCAATTGAAGATTTTATTTCCAAAAGAACTGTCTCGTAGGCCGAATGAACATTTTTCTTTCTGATGGTTTGACTCATCAGAAATGGCTTTGGGTGCAATGCCTTTGTAAAAACCTTCTAAATTGGGGGATGGTGAATTTTGTACCCACATTTCATTTTTGCAACCTTCCCGATATGCAGTGTTGTTTTTAAATGCTGATTTACTTGAAAAATATAAAAGATATGTATGTTTCTTTGACTTCTTTTATTTTCTCTTTCGTTTGTTTAATAATTTATTTTATTTGTTTTTATATAGGTATTTTCCCTCTTTCATCTTTTTAAGAGTTTTTGTGTGTCGCCCATTATTGTTTTGTAATTTTTGTACATGCTAATGTTTCGCAATACATAGTCTTCAGTGTATCCTTTATATTCCTCTATTTAAACTATTCATGGAATTGTCAATTACTTGATAAAAATTCATATTTAATAATAAAAACGAAACATAAAAATACCATTTCCTCAGAATATCGTAAACATATTTTGATGATAATAGGTTCAAACAACCTCCATCCTACATATGTAATGATCACTTCATGCCTACCAATATCATCAGATGAAGTGGAAAAACAATATCACAACTAAAAGATAGCAAAGCTCCTGGACCTGACAATGCTTGTGCTGAACTCATAAAGCTATTTAATACCGACGGTACTCAACGACTAACAAAATGTTGAATGATATATACTTAAACGGAGTACTACCAAGATCATATTGATAAAAATCATATATCAAAGGATATATCGTCGGCTTACTTGTAAAACCTTCTAAGTCCAATTTTCGGTCATTTATTTTTTTTTTACGGAAATAATTTAATAAATCCGTTCCGACATAACTTGTGAATATATTCTAAGTCTAATCGCAGCTCGTCCCTGGTGGTAATACGAGGAATTTCTATGTCTCTCAGTCTAAAATAGTTCTGAAAACCTTCTATGTCTGTGAGTGGTCTGTGGTACTGACATTTGGAGGTGAGTAAGTAATCGTAAATAAGTAATCTTAAAAATTGCTGGTTTTGGCTAGAAGTGCAACAGTTAATGTTTTCCAGTTAAATTTAAACTTAATAGTTAGGAAGGTATGTACACTGTTTTTATTTCATTTTAATTAAAAATATTTTTTAAATGAAATTCTTAACTTGTTAATGCGGACTTACACGGGTTTCATATTAAAATTAACGTTAAAATATTGAGTGCTAGGGACTTACATGGTTTTCAGACTAAAAGTAAAGTTAAAATATTAATTGAAAAAACTTCAAATTATACATTTTTTATGACTTGTAACGTGTTATTTAAAGAAACTAAATTATGATTGTTATATTATTTTAGCAGGTTTCCTACAAATCTCGAACAGAGCTGATATTAGAATTAGTTGCGCGTCGAAAGTTTCACCGAAAGGAAAATAACAATTTTGGAACATTGATCATAATTGTGCAAATATTTTACCTATTTTACCATTATTTACAAAACCTATCGATTCGGGACATTGGGAAGATAACATTAATATTAATGATCTGCCCATACAGTTTATTGACTTATCTACCACTGTTAAAGTCCAGTGCGCATATAATGCAGATGATAATTCTATTACTATTCAAAAACATAGTGGTCAGTAAACGCCCAATTTCGTTTGTAGGTTTTTTATATTAATTAATTTTCTATTTAAAAGACAAAAATAACATTAGGAATAATAGTAAACTTGATGATAAAGAAGAGTCTCTCTATTCTCCTAATTCCGATTCAGTGGAAAATTCTTCAAGTGATTCTGTCTCCTACCAGAATAATGTTACCGACTCAGAAGAAAATAACTTGAAAATAACAATAATTTAAACATAACTGTTCCTACCACAGTTTCTCGAAAGAGAAAAGCTGATATTTCACAATATGTCTAATCTCAAAATAAACGAAAAAAGGGAACACGGTGAAAAATATCTCAGTAGAAAAAAAATAGATGGGAA